TGATTTGTGCCTTCCTATAAATCTTGTTCACCATAAATATGTTCGGCCGATGAGCGGAAAATTCCCTTGGTGTTCTTTTAGGGAAATCTCACAGTATCTAAGTGCTTTCCGTTTTTTTAACAGGTCGTGGCTGAAGTTTCCACCGCTAGTTTTCCATGCGAGACCCGCATTCCTGCAAAATTGTCGGTGAATCACTTTTACCACGCTATTTTGCCTTTCTTTATATTCTTTTTTCGGCAGCCTGCCATTAGACGAGTTACTGTCTCTCCTTTGTCGCGGCACATGTCGATTCCGAATGCATATGCAGTATCCTGAATTTATGCAAATTTGTACTTAATGCCTAATGTTTGGCGGCAATTTAAAGGGCTTGTGTCGGGCGTCTAAGTCCACTACTTGTCAGCCATTGAAATGTTTCTTCAGTGTTCATGTTATCCGTTGGGGGGAGGGAAAAGAACTGGCCGTGGAAAGGCTTCGTTTACCAGCTCTGTAGTCTAGCCATTTTCAGAGCTTGTTTAGGGGTGGCAGCACCTTTGTCCATCGCCCATTCTACCTCGCCATATCTGTTCTCTATCACAGATGTTAAAAATCGGTCATCTACATTATTCTTCATATATTCTAACAGAGCTCACCTTCTCTAATTCCATCATGTCCTGTATATTACCCAACTGTTTTTTCTCCATTCTTTCATGATATATACAATCCGAGTTAGCTCTTTGATGCTTAACATCGTCATTGTCAAAGAGTTGGCTCTCCGCCTTGGTCAAGCTGACTGTTCCAGCTGTGTAGGCGAGTACTGGTACTGCATACTGGTTGATGGTTTTAATTATGTTCTCTCCACGGAGTTTACTTTCCATGATTTGCCGGATTCTATTTTAGTACTCCTTTATATTTTCTTTCATGTTGTCTCGTGGTACATTTTCAGCCTCTTGCACTCGAAGGTATTTGTAGTCCTCGCCTTCCTCTAGGTTCCTGATTTTCTCGCAGTTTAGCGCCACGTTCTCGCTAGTTGCTACTTGATCTCTGCGGACGTTTATCGTAGCACAGCTGTTCAGATCAAATTGCACTGTGATGTCTTCAGAGAAGATCCTTATGCTGTAAACCAGACTGTCTAGTTCCTTGGCAGATTTTGCATAGAG